ACATTTGCTGGAAGTAGAAATGAATAATGAATGGGTAGAAAGAAACAGGCACGATGCTGACAGTCTCTTGGCACTTACTTTGAGTGTTGCCATCCGCACAGATGTAGTAATAATGAATAGCATAAAAGCTATAGTTACTGAGCGCTTTCTGTAATATTTGTAAGAGCCGCTACTGAGGGCTTCATATGATTGGCTCATTTTACAAAGGGCATAATTACAAATACTGTAATGTCCATGGGTCAAAATATTTAGAGAAGTAGGATAGGCTGAGGGTTTTGGAGTCTACAAATCTCTGAATTCAAATCTCAGTTCAACTCCCAGCTCTACCACTGTGTGGCTGTGAGCCTTTGGGCAAGAAAGTCTCCTCTCTGAGCCTCACTTTGCCTATCTGTAGAAATAGGAATAATAATCAAACATCTCCCTAGCACGTTTTACCACTTCTATCAGCCAATGGGAACCCCGATGGCTTTCTCGATGAGAATAATAGATTGGTGCAAAAGTAATCGCGGTTTTTGCCATCAAAAGTAATGCCAAAAACCCGTGATTACTTCTGTACTAACCTAATACATGGTGCAGGGACCAAGTGTTGGGGACAGGCCCCCCAAAATCTGGCCATAAACTGGTCCCAAAACTTGCCATAAACAAAAGCTCTGTAGCACTGTGACATGTTCGTGATGGCCATGGTGCCCACACTGGAAGGTTGTGGGTTTACTGGAATGAGGGCAAGGAACACCTGGCCCACCCAGGGCAGAAAACTGCTTAAAGTGGTTCTTAAACCACAAACAATAGCATGAGCAATCTGTGCCTTAAGGACACGCTCCTGCTGCATATAACTAGCCCAACCCAGCCCTTTATTTCGGCCCATTCCTTTGTTTCCCATAAGGAATACTTTTAGTTAATCTATAGAAACAATGCTTATCTCTGGCTTGCTGTTAATAAATACGTGGGTAAATCTCTGTCTGAGGCTCTCAGCTCTGAAGGCTGTGAGACCCCTGATTTCCCACTTCACACCTCTATATTTCTCTGTGTGTGTGTCTTCAATTCCTCCAGCGCCCCGACCAAGCTGGTCTCCGCACCAAGGACCTTATTTCTGATGGGGAAATTGAGGCCTGGAGGAGAAAAACTTCACTAAGTTCCCAGAGTTCAGTAGGAAGCTTTATAGTTTAAAAGTTAAGAGCGTTTATCTTGAAATCAGACTGATCTAAGATCAAGCGCTGGTCCTACCACTTCCTGGCTGTGTGACCTCGGACAAGTTACTTAAGCTCTATAAGCCTTGGCTTCCTAATCTGTATGAGGGGACATTAATAATACCTACTGCAAAGATGATTGTGAGGATGGAATTAATGAAACCAGACAGTTTCAGGGCTCAATCTGTAAAGCCTAGTCCTGCTACTCACTGGCTGTGCGAATTTGGGCAAGTGGCTTAGTCTCTCTGAGCCTCAATTTTCTCTTTTATAAAATGGAATGATTAATAAATACAATACTTCCCTCTTGAATATGTTGGGAGGATTAAAAAAGGATGAGTATGGACAGTACCTGACTCGTGTCAAGCTCTCATACTATCTAACTGTTAGGAATTCTTTCTTATTTATAAGGACACACCCAGGTCTTGAATTCATGCATTTATTCAACAAATGTTGACTGAGGTCTATTATGGGCTGAACTGTGTCCATAAAAGATATTCCGAAGTCCTAATCCCCAGCACCTCAGAATGTGACCTTCTATGTGGAAATAGGGTCTTTGCAGAAGGAATCAATTTAAAACGAAGTCATCAGGGTGAAGTTACCTAATGAAGTCACCTGAACCAACATGACTGGTATCCTTATAAAAGCATAAATTCAGACACAGAATCAGCCACGCACTAAGGGAAGATGACGTGAAGATACAGGGAGAAGATGGCCACGTAATTAAAGTGATACAACTCTCATCCAAGGAACACCAACGATTACCAGCAAACACAAAAGACTGGGAGAGACAAGGAAGGACCCTCACCTAGGACCCCTGGAGCAGGCATGACCCTGCTGCCACCTTGATGTCAGACTTCCAGCCTCCAGAATTACACAATAAACTTCTGGGCGGGGGGTTTTGGACATTTTTATGGTAAAATACTGCATAACATAAAATTAACCATTTTAACCATTTTTAAGAGTACAGTTCAGTAGCATTGTTATGGGACCATCACCACTATCCATCCCCAGCCTTTTCATCATCCTAAACAGAAACCCTGTACCCATTAAACAACAACTCCCCATTCCCCCATCCTCTCAGCCCCTGGTAACCTCTATTCTGCTTCCAGTCTCCATGAATTTGCCTACCCTAGGTAACTTATATAAGTGGAATCATATAATATTTGTCCTTTTGTGTCTGGCTTATTTCACTTTGCATAACATTTTCAAGCCTCATCATGTTGGAGTCAGAATTTCCTTTCTTTTTAAGGCTGAATAATATTCCATTGTATGGATAGACCACATAGTGTTTATCCATTCATCCGTTGATGGACATTTGGGTGGCTTCCATCTTTCG